AGATATCCAAGTCGGTGCTGTCATCTGAAAACATGTGTAAGTTCATGATCCATGCTCCTTTGCCATGGTATCGATGGCTGCAGACTCACAATTGAGAAGGAGGGACATAGAAGGCTTCCATGACAACCCTTTACCCCACTCCCGACAAGTAACAGCTAGACAGAAAGCTATCGAGGACTCTTAAAATCTGTGAGGATGCTGAAGGCTCAGGTCTGGACAATTGTCTCTACAGTTTTCTTTAAGGGGCTGGCATCAGGGAGTTTGACCATGTGGTCAACACATATTGGGCGACACAAATTGGACCCTCCCTCTTCTTCTTTTTTTTTGGGGGGAGAGAGGAGTAAGACTCCAAGGGTGAGGTACAGACCTGAGAGAAGTGGGAAATGAGGGGGCTAGGGGTTTGTGATGTAAAATGTCCAAATAATCCATTAAAATATTATGAAAAAAAGAGTTTGCCATAGCTATATATTTTAAAGCAGAGAAAGCCAGTCAAGTGGAAATGATTATGAAAAAAAAAGTCATGAATCAATCTTTTACAAAGTTGTCAAAACAAAAAAGGAAACATTTTGAGTGATGTTTAATTTAATCTGTGTTTCAGAATGCAAGTGGACTAATATAACTAATATGGCTCCATAATCGTGCTCTGTCACAGACATCAGCCCATGACTCAACTTTACGGTTTTACTTCTTGCTTTGAGGCCACACAGTTTTTTTTTTTTTTTTTTTTTTTTTTTTTTTTTTTTTTTTTTTTTTTTGGAAAAGTGTAAAGGCAACTGTGCGGAGGAGTAAAGGCATCTCTGGGAGTGGTTTTGGTGGGAGGCAGTTTGCTGCATTTCCCTCTCCTGCTACGAGAGCCAGAGAGCGAGAACAAGCGCTTTGCATGTCTGATTTCACATCCTCTTGTCAGCTGCTGGGCTGACGTCCCATCCCAGATGCTTCCCATGGGGAAGTAAGCACTGCAAGGACCCATTAGTAAGCAGATTCCGGGCCAGAGCGGAGGCATTCTACACTGTCCCTGCCCCAGGGCATCCAAAAAAGAGAAAGTAGAACCCCAGGGTGCTGCCTGACAGATCTGTGAATGAATGAAGGGAGTCTGGTGGCTGGTTACAGGAATGAGCACATGGATTCTACAATCCTATTTCAAGCCCGCCCATTTCTCTGAGACAAACCCCCTCTATACTGTCTCTTACTGTCCAGTGTTCTTCTAGCTGCACTCAACCAGCTTGGTCCCCTTGTCTCTGGCTCCTTTGAGCACCCCATCTTGGCTTCCTGTCAGTCCTTATGCCTCGCTCTCATTCTGGTGTCTGTTGTCCATAGTTCTTCAGTTTCTGTCCTGTGTCTTCCCTTGGTCAGGGTTCCATGATGTCAGTCTGATGACAGTCTGTGAGGCTCCTGGGCTGGGCCAGGTTCCGGACACTGCCATGTACAGAAAGCATCTTTAATCACTGGTAACAGCATCAAACCATTGCTTTTTTTCCCTCTCTTTTTAATTTTTTTTTTAATTTTTATTAATTACAGTTTATTCACGTTGTATCCCCCCGTATCTCTCTCCCTCCTCCCCACCCAATCCCACCCTTCTTCTTCCCCACTGGTGTCCCTCTTCCAGCCCACTGAAAAGGGAGGTCCTCTTCCCCTTCCCTCTGATCCTAGTCTATCAGGTCTCATCAGAAGTGGCTGCATCGTCTTCTTCTGTGGCCTGGTAAGGCTGCTCCCCCCTCAAGGGGAGGGGATCAAAGAGCAGGTCAATATTTCCTGTCAGAGACAGTCCCTGTCCCCATTGCTATGGAGGTCACTTGGATACTGAACTTCCATAGGCTACCTCTGTGTAGGGGTTCCAGGCCATCTCCATGAGTGGTCCTCAGCTGGAGTATCAGTTTCAGAAAAGACCCCTGTGCCCAGACTTTTAGGATCTGTTGCTGTCCTTGTGGAGCTCCCGTCCTCTCCAGGTCTTACTATCTCCCCTTTCTTTCATAAGATTCCCTGTACTCTGCCCAAAGTTTGGCTCTGAGTCTCAACATCTGCCCTGATATCCTGCACAGTAGAGCCTTTCAGAGGCCCTCTGTGGTAAGCTCCTGTCCTTTTCCCTATTTTCTCCCTCCTCCATTGCTTTTAAAACTGCCAAAGCCATCTCACAGTTTTGGGGTTTTGTTTGTTTTTTTTTTTGGTTGGTTTTTGTTTTGTTTTGCTTTTCTTTTTTGAGGCAGGGTTTCTTTGTATAGCCTCGGCTGTCCTGGATTCTCTTTGTAGACTAGGCTGGCCTTGAACTCATAGAGATCCTCCTGCCTCTGCCTCCCTGAGTGCTGGGGTTACAGGGGCGAAACTGTGTCCAGGTTTTTTTTTTGTTTTGTTTTGTTTTACTATTTTAATAATTTCATCCGTTGGTCATTTGGTAAATTTCTACAACACCCAACACCCACCTTATTCCGAATTAGATCTGAGAAGTTATGACTCAAGATTCAGCCTAGCTGTTGGCCCTCCTCTACTGGGCTTTCCTTTCACTTCCTGAAAGTAGATGCAGAATTCTAGAGAATTGGCATCTAGGAACAACATGGCAGGGACTTTGGACATGGAGAGTCACTCCATTGGGGTTGGTGGAGAGACATGGCTAAGCAAGATCTGGACAGTCGGATGGAAAAAGGTTCTGCTGCCATCGCAGCAACTTCCCCTGAGGTCCTGTGTATGTGCAGGACTTGGAACACTCAGCTTTCCAGCCTGTCCAGACACTACAACCCAGTTTGCTCCCCCTGAAAAACGTTCTACAGTAGTGGTTCTCAACCTGTGGATCACGACCCCCAAACACCCTTTCACAGGGGTCACCTAAGACCATCAGAAAACATGGACATTTATACTATGCTTCATAAGAATAGCAAAATTACAGTTATGAAGTTACATAACTTCATAACTTCATACATTACAGTTACAAAAATAATTTTGTGGTGGGGGTTGGCACAACATGAGAAACCGTATTAAGGGGTCCCAGCACTAGGAAGGGGGAGTGCCAGTACGGCATGGTTATGGAAGCAGCTGCTTGACACAGTTCCAGCTGCTGGAGTACCATCGCCCTGGAGAAAACATCTCTGGATCGCCAGTCCACAAGCGGTGTTGCTTTTTCCTCTATTGTCTGCCTGTTTTGTTTTTTACTGTGACTTCATCTTTTCCCCTAATTCAGCCCTAGTTAATGCAACTGGTATGATTTCAAGGAGGACTGGGGGAGAAGAAAATGACTCAGAAACACCCACTTAGGAGGAAGCATTCTTCCTGGCTGTAAAGTCAGCGAACCCTGAAACATCTGAGCAAGAAACTGAACTTCTAGAGGCCTTTTGTGTTGATTGTTCCCTGAAAAACTAGTCAGCTCATGGATATCAAACGATATCAAGAACTGTTTGAGTTTTCACACTCAGCCCCCAGATTGCTGCAGTCAGAAAGGAATTAGACCCTAGAGAAGCTGCTGGACTCGTACTAACTTCCTTTTCTAGAAAGACCTGGACGCGTGGACACAACTCCTTGGGATAAGATACGGACATTACAGGAGCTTTCTATAGTTTATGAGGAATGAGCTAGAGACCCTCTGAATGAGCAGTCTTGCTACAGGAGATGTTTAGAAAGGGCTCAGAACTTGCCGAGCTACAAACAGCTGCTGAGAATAAAGAATAGTTGAGTTTACTTAGCACCTCTTTGTTCTAATGCTACTTATTGTAACCACAAGATTTTGCTCAGACGACCCATGATGTAGAGGTTCGTCCGGGAAAAGCACCGAGTTAACGATTAAATAGGCTTGCTTGCTTGCATAATCACTGTACAGTACAGTAATCACCATACTGTGTATATAGAGGACAGCTTGCTCTATACTGTGAGTTCTTGGGTCTAATCATTGTACCATTGATGTAGAGTACAGCTTGCTATATTCTGTTCTCATCTGTGGGTTTTCGGGAAAATCTAATATTCTGGGGAAAGGCAAAATGTTTTTGATCATGTAGAGAAAATGTGTAAGGAAATGGTTTAACAATAAAAGACTGTATTGACTCTCTGCTCCGGAGAGCAGAGAAAAGAGAACGTGAGCAGACATCAGAGAGAACCGTCTCCTGAAGTGAGTCATCAGCCAGCTTGTACCTGCGCCCCTCACAGCCCCACCCTCAATCATTCCTCCCACAATTGACTGAGGCTGGGCCCCGGCAGCTGTGGGCGGCTGTCCTAGACTGATGTGCTGAAAGTTTTAAGGTGAATGGCTCAGCTGCTTACAAAGTTGTTCAGAAAGAGTTGTGATGGCTAAAGCACATTTGTACTGAACATAATTAATACTTAACATTCAGAGCCGAAAATTTTCAGTTTATGCTAATTTTTGTTCTCAACTCTTAAACCCTGCTTTTAATTTGCTAACATGCTAGCATTCACATTTTTATGTTTTTATATTCCTTCTTAATCTTTCATTTGCAATTTAATGTTATCTGAGTAACAATCAGTTACTGAGATGTGAAGTATTTAGTTTGTTAAAGCATTGATTTCCAAATATCATTCCTGTTTTTAGAACAGCGTTGTATTTTGAAACTTTCTTCAAATTGTGTCTCACTTTTCTGTTTTTGAATTTCTTATTAGAAACCAAAATCACTGCATTTGCTCTTTGATTGATAGATCCTTTGCCATCTCTGAGTTATATCGGTTTCCCTTTCAATTTAAAATTTTAATTTAATTAAAATAAATTTGATTTTAATTGTAAATGAATTTTAATTAAAGTTTTGTTTTAAAATTTAGATTAAATTCAAAAACATTTGCTTAAATGTACATTAAAGTTAAACTATTTGAAGACTTTGTGGAAATAATGTTAAATGTTTTTAAATTTTAGGAAAAAAATAATTTCATTTTTTATTATAATGTATCTTGGAAAATCAAAAGTTAAATAAAAGTGCCAAAGTTTTGAGTGCAAAAAAACCGTGTCAGGTGACATTTTTAGTGAATTTACTATCATTTAAATAGGCCACTGTCGATTCCCCTAGGAGGCTGAGCCTCAAAGACCAGGGTGCCAAGTGCCTACAACGTGCATGCAATATAGAGGAAAATTACCCACACCCTTACCCTGGATCCTAAAGGCGGAGATGAAGAAAGAAACCCGCTTCTGGTTTTTGTGCCAGCCCTCGGGAGCTGGGGATGATGGCCAGGCAATCGCTCAGAAGCAGGTAGGGTTGGAGACGTGGACTCAGAGATGGGTCAAGTGTGGTTACCTGGGTATCTGCCAGCAGGTAGACTATAGACAGTGTCAATACTGTCAGTGACGATGGCTCTGCAGCCAGCATAGTAGGCTGTCTCCTGCTTTCTGAAGTCAGCCCTGTCCTTCCTTCTCCTGTGAAGTGGTTAGACAGAAAGCAGGGTAGCCTGGTGCCAGTTGCTTCCTGGAATAACGTGTCCTCCCTGGCTAGGTACGAAGGAAAGTAAAAGAGGGTGCCTGACTCATTCACCAGAACGTAGAATTCGAGAACGTAGGCTTCAAGGCATCCAGCAGAAGGTTGTCGTGGGAGCAAGGGCAGGGCTCTTGGAATGCTTTGACTGAGTATAAAAATATTTGATTGTCACGTTGACACACAGCAGACAAACCTCTGTCTGAGTTTCTTTAGTAATTGAGATGGGAAGGCTCTGTGGACAACATCATCCCATAAGTTGGGGTCCTGACCGCAGAAACATCGCAACGGTCCTCCTGCTCCTGCTGCCTTGACTTTCCTGCCGCAATAGACCAAGGTCTCTAACTGTGGTCTTTCCTTCCTTGAGTTGCCTTTGTCAAAGCAGTGAGACAAATAAGTTATATAGTAGGTGCTGGCGAACTTTAGTTGGGTGCACTGGAATGAGGTGTTTGTGCGCTGATATGCTGTGTGAGCCTCAGATATTCATTAAAAGACATTTGACAAATGCGTTTCCCTTTCCTTTCCTGACACCTTCTGTAACTGTCACCGCCAGCCTTGAGTGATTATGGGGAATTTCCATCCTGCAGTGACCCATCTGGAGAGCAACAGGCAGGTGTGTATACAGTCCATCATGCTCCCTCGACATTCTACTTCCCTTGTCCCACTGCAGCCTGGGAAAGAATGAATGAGCTTGAGAAGGGAGGGCAAGGAAACTGGCGAGGTTTCCTCCTCTTTATGCGAGGCTGGCCAGCTATCTGATGGGTCAGCTTGTTCATCTGCTCCAAATATTCCTGTCATGCCTCTAGCAAGTTCTCAGGCCAATGTCTCTGGCTAGTGAGATGGAGAATTTTATGGTTCTATGTGTGTTCATGTGCTTGTTCACAAGTCTGTGTGCACGTCTCTTTTTCTTTGTGTGTGTGTGTGTGTGAGTGTGTGTGTGTTTGTGTAGCACAGAGACTTTCTAATCTCTCCCCACCTTGTCTTTTGAGATTGGGTTTCTCACTGAACCGAGAGCTTATCTATTTCTCTAGACAGACTATCCAAGAAGCCCCAGAGATACTCCTGTCTCCACTGCCTCAGATGTGGGATTATAGGCATGCGCTGCTGTGCCTAGTTTTAAACACTGGGTTCTGAATAATTCAACCCAGATCCTCATGCTTGCTGGGCAAACACTTTACTGAATAAGCACCCATGCCAGCCCCCAACTCTCTTTATATACACTTTACAATCTAGAGATACCTAATACACTCACCAAGTTGTACAAGTCACGACTAATGCTAGAACATTTCACAACACCTAAACAAAACCTCTTTTTCATTAGCAGTTACCCTTCTCCTCCAGTTCCTGTTAGCATGCCTCCCATCTTCTTATATTTACACTCTCTGTCTCTAATCTACTTTCTGTCTCTGTGGATTTGCCTATTCTGGAAATTTCATAAAAATGGAACCACAACATTGGACTTTTGTTTTGTGTTTTTTTTTCACTTAACATTGTCAGTGTTCATCATGTTGTAGCTAATATCAGCACTTCATTATTTTATGTGTCTGAGAATTATTCCATTGTATTAATAGGTCATACTTGTTTATGCACATATCAGTTAACAGACATGTCAGTTGTTTCTATTTTTAGGCCATTCTGGATAATTCCAGTATAAGCATTCATATACAGAATTTGGGGACCTACACTGTTAATTTTTATTGCTAATGCTTAAGGATAGGTTTGGCAGCCTATGGTAACTCTTCAGCTCTTGTCCAGTTATTTTCCAAAGAAGCTGTGCTATTTTGCCCTGTGAGAGTTCCTGTTTCTCTATATCCTCTCCAACATTCATTAGCGTTCTTGCTTTTTGTGTCCGTTCCAGGGGATGTGGTCATTTTGACTTGATTTCCGTAAAGACAAAGGGTGAAGATCTCTGCACATGCTCATTGACCATTTATATGTCTTCTCTAGAGAAAGGTTTGTTCATGTTTGCTCATTTAAAATGTTGTTTATTGTAGATTTTTATGGCTTCTTTAAATGTTCGGAACATACATGCATTAGCAGATATGTAATTTATAAAATTCTCTGATTTGTAAATGTTCTCTCTCTAATGAAATTATGAGCCATGAGAAAATTGTTTCTCAAAAGGGGAAGAACCTTATCCAAATGAAAAGATAGGAAAGTCTTCATGCAGAAGACGAAATTTAAGTTAGGTATTTAAAAAATAAACATAAATAGGACAGCACTAAAAACTACTAAGGTAAACACATGAAAATTGATTAATGTGGGATGTGGCTCAGCTTCAACAGTTTCATTTATATCTATGGCTATGTAACCTGCTTTCCCCTGGAATTACCAACCAGAGCTGAAAACACGTACCCCTCAGGTCCTGTTTCCTATTAATAAAAAGGTCAAAATCCTATAATTTGCTTCAATGGTTCCTTGGCCCTGGTAAACTCGGGTTGATGTCAAGCAGCACATGGCTTCAAGGATGTCTATTGTCTTACCTGAAACTTGCCACTCCCTCACGCATTCCTCACCAAATTTCAGATGAACTTTGTCCAGTAGTCATACTAGTTAACTTAAGCTTTATTCTTGGGTAAATAAATGCTTGTCAAAAGGTGTCTATGCTCTATGGTTTTGTGAAGCCATGGAAACTTTCCTACCTCCTAGTCCTCATTTATTATGATTTAAAGACAAGGTCACACTATACAAGCTAATCTTTTGTTTTAATTTTCTTTTTTTTTTAAATTAATTCAATTTACATCTCAGTCATAGGTCCCTCCCTTTTCTCCTCCCAGTCCTACCCACCCTTCCAAATCCATCTTTCCCCTATTTCCTCCGAATCCGGACACCCAAGTTCATTTATTCACATGAGGATTGAGTTCATCTTTCTCCCCTGTGGCCTGGTAGGGCAGCCCCATCAGGGGGAAGTGATAAAAAAGCAGACAACATAGTCCATGTCAGAGATATTCCCCACTCCCTTAATTTAGTGGGCTCACATGAGACCTAAGACATCCATCGATGACTTATAAACAAAAGACCTAGGTCCAGACCATGCTTGGCCCTTGGTTGGTGCTTCGGACTCCATAGGCCCCTCTGGGACCTGTTGATTGTCTCTGATGGTTCCTGTTCCTACTCTTTCACCATTTAAAGGCAAGGTCCTTCTGTCTCCATGTTATGCTACCAGTAGAGGCAACTGAAGGAACAGTAATCTCTCTTACAATGTCTGTTCAGCCTCAAGAAGTATAACTTTCCAGGTATTGATCTATGCAGCTGTAGCTACATAAGGATAAATAGCAGAAATCATACCTTCCTTGATTTGTTGGAAATCATTCTCAGAGATGTCAGGTAAATGTAATGAGGATATTTTATTTAAAAAAAATTGCTTTCCTTTGTAAAATTTGAACATATAGGAGATCATAAAACCTATATCCTCCTGAATATAAGCATGCAGACGTAGAAGATTACAGAACCAGAGCAAACTGTAATTCTCAGTGATTTTGAGCCTGTGATTCCTAATGATCCAATATGGGTCAGAATGAAGCAAGATAACTAACTGATGTCAAGTATAGGGAGAAGAAGAAGAAGAAGAAGAAGAAGAAGAAGAAGAAGAAGAAGAAG